GAAGTTTCAACTTATTTTGGTATATAAATTTTAATTCGGAAAAAAAGACATGTTTATATATAGGATAATACCATTTACAAGTTTGAATGGATTTAAAATGAATATTTTGCGTTTATATATAATAAATTTACCCATAAATTATAATATTATTGCTAGCAATTATTTTCTGTATAGTTACAATGTTAATAAATAATCTGGTAAAGTTATTTTTCTTAAAGAAATTGTTACATTTATATTTACTTTCTTTAATTTCATACGTTTTAAGCACAAGATTTTTAGGTTTTTCTAACATTTAACCTCAAATTTTAATTTATTATTCCTTTAATTTCTAGGTAATTAACCTCAAATTTTGGTCACAGATCCTTCAATTACTGTTGTTTAACCTCAAACTTTGATCGCAGCTTCTGATTCTTCAATATCAACTTTTTGATAATATCTTCTTCAGTTTCTGTAAACATTTTGCTAACTTTGATTATATATCTCATTAAATTTCTATTATCCTAATTTAAGTTTCGTGTACATATTAATATAATTAGCTCATTTTTAAACTAATATTTTTAAAGTAAAATAAAAATTTAACCTAAAAAAAAAAATAATAATAACTCATCTAACAGAAATATTGGATAAAAATATATGAATTTCGTTAGAAAAGTAGTACAAATCTGTTACTGTTATTTAATATCATGTAATATTTATACATTGATAAAAATCTTTATATCATTTAACACTTTCTTCAATATATAAAAATATTTTGTAACTATTTTCAAGTTAACTGATATAGATATCAGGTTATAAATAATTCTTTTTTCCTGTAAAATAATATAGATTTTTTTAAAAGTTATTTATAATAAAATAAAGTGGAAAATTTAATACAGAAATATATCATGAAGCTTAGAGAATTCATTAATATAATATGATTACTTGGCAGTTATCATAACTTGATTACATTACTCGATATATTGATGATATGCCTAATTATCTTGAACTTTGAATATAGGTAATTATGCTAAGTGTACATACTTTAATTATATTATTATTTTAAAATGTTTGTTTATAATTTTTATTTATTTATCACAGTTTTTTAATGTATAATAAAGATTTTTTTGTGTTTTTTAGAAAAAATGAATTTTTAAATTTTAAACAGAATAATTTTTATTTACGTTAATAATAATTAATTAGAAATTATGGGACATTAAACTCCCTGTTATAAAAGGTAAAATAAATACTGAATTAAATTTCCTTCTAAATAAATTTTTAGTTACAATCTAAAATAAAAGTGAAGTAATTATTGAGTTTCTATCATATCGAATTTTGTCATCCGAGATAAAAATTGCGACCATCGTTACGAATCACTTACAAACGCATCTTCGATGAAAAGCCGAGTATTGTTTTCCTTTACCTCATCTTTACAATATTAAATTTCTGTAGAAAGGCTCCTTGTACAGTTGGCTTGAAGCCAACCCGTCTGGAAGGCGGATACTCAGCCTTCTTTTCGGTACACACTTAATTAGGATAGGTAATCGGGCATCTTCTCCCTCGTGCTGTTTTTCTCTCCTGCTGTATATAATTACGTGATGCATGCCGTCTCGTGCTCCTCCTTCTTATCCCAAATCCCGCCCATTGACGAAACTCAACCGAGTCTTCAGGGGCAAACAGGGAGGATTGTGTATCGTCCAAATCCGACACAACAGGGGGTCCTAGTCTTTTACCTGCTATTTATTGTCCCTGTTGTATAATCTTTTGTCGTCTGGACGTTTAAGGAACACGGCCCGCTTGGACCATCTTCATTCTTGTCACCCAACTTGTCAACATTAATCTGGCTCGGATGGAGGAGATGGATTATGTGGGAGTATAACTCGCCATCATCGATTTTTCTCGTGCATAACAGTCGATATATACATTTTTCTTTAATTATAAAATAATTATTACTCTTTCGTTGTAGCATTAAAAATTTATTTCTGTCTGTAAACTTATAAAATAATCGAAATTCTTTCATTTATTTCTTTGTACGCGGGTTTATAAATCTGGGATTCTTTAAAAGACTTACTTTTAATTAATTAATAAGCAATTAATTAAATTTGTTTCTAAATAAAAGATTTATTTAATTCTGTAAAGAAAAATTCTTTTGCTTCTACCAATTCAAATCAAAAATAAAATGTTTAATTTTTACAAAATTAATGAAGAGTTCATTTTAAAATTAAAATTATAATCAAATAAATCATTTAAAATAATATATTATATGTTATTTTAAATATTTTATTTGATTATAATTAATTTTAAAATTAATTCTTCATTAAGTATTTATCTAT